TGTGTGTGTGTGTGTAAAAACAAATTAATGCCCAAAAGTTCAGGTTGTGCCTAAGGTTCACGAAATTATAATATATGAACAAGATGAGGTGATAATGTGTGAGCAATTGCATGGTATGATCACACGAGCATGTGCACGCACGCATGCGACTCTGCATTAGCTTTGCTTTTTCCCCCGAGTCCTAAATACCACTACTCAGCTGCGGTGGCTTTTTAAAAATTCAAACTCTTAATTCCAACCCCTCCAACTCCTTGTCGTTTTATTCCCAGATTAACGCTCTGTGCTTCGACTGGATTCTTCAGAAAAACGGAGATCTCCTCAGGCTGAAAAAAGAGATAAGGGCCAAAGAGAAGAAAGTCAACAGTGACACCAACGCCAACACGGCGGCTCTAGCACCACCAGCAACAGCAACAGCACCACCAGCAGCAACAGCACCACCAGCAGCATCAGCAACAACAGCAGCAGCAGCACCAGCATCAACAGCACCAACAGCAGCATCAGCGGTGACGGCGCTCTTGGAAGAGGATTTGAGAATCAGGAGGTCTGTCTCCAGGTTCTCCTCCGACATTTTACTGACCAGAGAACAGCACGAAACACTCAGGGCAGCAGAGACGGCTGCCAGCTCGGCTGGTAAAAGTAGAGTATAGCGTTCCCTACATCTGCATTTCGATCTTCTTGACCCAGTGCGCAACATTCGGGGTTATGGTGGAGGTCACAGAGGGTTATTTTACAGGAGCGGAGTACAGAGCTCAGTGATCGTCGCGATGCGCGAAGGCGTGAGGGGTTAAACATGTTCTTGTACTTAACTTCTACCGCCCAGCTTGTGTCATGGAAATGGTGAAAGTCGTTTACTACATAAAACACTGAGTTATCGTCAAAATGATGAAATTGAAGAAACTGGCCCGTTGCAACGCCTACTGTATAAACTGTATACAGTAGGTGTTGGCTTCTTTGTGCTCAGATAGCCTAGGCCCGTTGTCAACAGGGCACTAGTCCAGTAGTGATGTCCCGGCTCAGAGGGCGGCCATTTTGGTGAAATCGGTTTGGGAATCCCCAGTTTGTAATTTAGTAAATTACAATCATAAGCATGTGTGGATGTGAAGGAAAGCCTTTTCTTTGAAAAAAAAAATACAACAACCCTCCACTTAATATTTTGTAAAATCTTAGTTTTCCACTACATTTATACATCGAACTCAACTCTACTATGCTTTTAAACTTCAACTTGTAAAATGTAGTACATGTAAAAGATGATGCTTGTAACGTGATGATTTCTTTACTCTCTGAGCTGGGACATCACTACTCGACTTGTTGTGTCAATGGGTTGATGGTCCGAGGGCAGCGTTATACATGTATGTGCATAGTGGGGAAATCATCAGTTTCCTGGACCTGGTATCCATCATTGCCTTTCTCATCCTGGATCGTGGGTATAGGCCACGAACGAACACTTTCCACCTTTCCCTGTCCTGGGATAGCCTCTTGATGTTATGATTCCATGTCTTCCCACTTTTCTGTACATCGATTTCTGTGACTCTTTTCTGGGTTCCACGCGGTCCTCCCTTTGATCTTGTACCCTGTGGGTTCCAATCCAACACTTTCCTTGTTATTCAGCTGCCTGACTTCCTGAGAGTATGTCCAATCCATCGCCACCGCTTTCTTCGCACCTCATCTCTGACTGGGCTGTCTTGCTCTCCTCAGCACGTCCTCGTTGGTGATCCTGTCTGTCCATCCGATCCTTAGTAACTTCCTTAGACACTGGTTCCACAAAACCTGGATCCTCTTTATGCAAGTCTGGTACCCAGCTGCTTTTCTATTTTTGTGGATGCCAAACAATGTGACTATTCCTTTCTTTTTCTGTCTTTCTGTCTTTCTGTCTTTCTTTCTTTCTTTATTAACGTGTGTTTGCTTTATGCAGTTGCGAGCGCCGTAAAACTCTTACTAAACTAAACTAACTTGTGTTTGTGTGTGCATGGGGGAGTGATTGCATTCTATTTTCTATTTCCAGTTGTTTGGTTCATTTTTTTTGTTTTTTCAAGGCGAGAAATAATATATGCCTGTGTGTGTGTGTGTGTGTGTGTGTGTGTGTGTGTGTGTGTGTGTGTGTGTGTGTATGGGTGTGTATGTGTGTGTGTGTGTTTTCGTTTGTTTATAGTGACAGGGAGAGAACGAGATGTAGAGAGACAGATAGAGAAGCTGTGACAGACAGACAGAC